AAATCATACCCTTCCTTTTGTTTAAAGCCTTTGACCACCAAACGTGCTTTAAACTTATCAATCGATCCATCAGCTTTATATTTCTTTTTTAGGATCCACTTGCATCCTAAAGGTTTACAACCATCAGGGAGATCAACCAACTCCCAAGTATGATTTTGCATAATGGACTCAATTTCACTATTTATAGCTTCTTCCCAGAGTGGTCCGTCTGGACTGGACAAAGCTTCCTTAATGGAACTCGGTTCATCGTCCAACATGTACGTAATAAAGTCAGGTCCAAATGTTTTCGCCGTTTTTATCCTTTTACTACGTCTTGGTTCTTCATCAGTACCCTTTGGTACAGAACCACTAGCAGTTTTATACGTTCTTTTATTAGAACTAGATTCTGCCCTTTCCTTCATAGAAAAAACATTCTCAAAGAATATAGCATTCCTTGACTCAATCGTGGTACCAACCGATACCTCTGGATTTTCTGATTTATGAACCAGAAATCTATACGCTGTACTATTGTACGCATATCCAATAAATACACAATCGACCGTCTTTGGTCTGATTCTCACTTGTTTGTGATCAGGTACTGAAACCTTAGCCAAACACCCCCACACTTTCAGGTATTTATAAGACGGCTTACGATTTTTCCACATTTCGTAAGGAGTCTCATCTTTACCTTTAGGTGGTATTTTGTTCAGGATGTGATTTGCTGTTAAAACAGCTTGCCCCACATGTTCTGTGGTAATCCTGAATTAATCAACATGGCATTCATCATTTCTTTTAAAGTTCGGTTTCTGCGTTCAGCAGCACCGTTCGATTGTGGAGAATAAGGGCCCGTCGTTTGATGAATTATGCCATATTCAGAACATATTTGTTCAAAAGGAGCTACATACTCCCCACCCCTATCACTTCGGATTATTTTAATCCTTTTGCCGAGTTGATTTTCAACTTCGGTCTTATAGACTTTAAAAGCTTCCACAGCTTCGTCTTTGCTTCTTAACAAATATAAGTAGAAAAACCTTGTGCAATCATCGATAAAAGTAATAAAATACTTTTTACCCGTTCTTGTTTGCACATTTTTCATATCACATACATCAGTGTGGATCAAGCCTAATGGTTTAGTACTCCTTTCTACCGAGTGAAAAGGTAACTTAGCCATTTTCATTATCATTAGAAACGGTTAAACGACTCACGGCCATTACATTCATTTTGAACAAACCCTTGTCGAGATAACCACGACCAAGGAATATTCCATATTTGCTAAAAATAAACTTCTCAGCTTCAAACACTAGCCTAAATCCATGCTCAACAAGAAGTGATCCGGAGACCAAATTCTTGCAGATGTCTGGGACATGCAGAACATCCTTCAGCTTCAACTCCTTTCCAGAAGTGAGCTTCAGCACCACCGTGCCCACTCTAGCCACATCAGACGTGGAGGATTTTCCCATGTGAAGTTTCCGACCCGTAGCAGGAGTGTATTCATAGAGCACCTCCTTGTCAGAACACACATGACGAGTGGCACCAGTATCGATGTACCACTCCCTTGGGTTATCCACTAAATTGGCTTCAAACACCACCGCCGACATATCAAAGTCGGTCAATTCACCCGGCACAGGGCCGTGTTCAGCAACAAGGGTACTCGGTTGCCCTTTATTTGGCCCAACTTTCTTTGGCCTCTTGCAATCTTTAGCCATATGGTTTGGTTTTCCACAATTGTAACAAGTTCCGGTAAACTTCCAAACCTTGGCTGGCTGCTTTCCCTTGTTCTGGGTCTTCCTCTTACTCGAGTTGCCTTGCTCCAGCAAGTTGGCACGAGCTTCCATCATCGGGACTTTTCCTGATGACTTATGGTTGTCCTCCTCGATACGAAGACGAACTATCAGATCTTCAAGACTCAACTTCTCGATCACAGCCGCTACTTAGAATGACTCACTCAAAGTCATCCCTTCAGAATAGATATCGTGCAAGATCAGCTGGAACTCTTGCACTTGTGACACGACAGTCTTCGTGTCAACCATTTTGAAGTCAAGAAATTTACCGACGACGAATTTCTTCGCCCCGGCATCCTCTGTCTTGTACTTCTTCTCCAGGGCAGCCCAAAGCTCCTTGGCAGAACCAACAGAGCTGTACACATTGTACAACTCGTTACTAAGCCCGTTCAGGACATAGTTACGGCAAAGGTAGTCACCTTGCCCCAAGTATCGTACACAGCGCGTAGTTCTGCATTGGTCTCATTCTCTGAAATGACCGGAGGGTCGTCCTTCAGGTATTTCACCAAACCCAAAGTGGTCTGATAAAAATGCATCTTCTGTTGCCATCTCTTAAAGTTAAGCTCGTTGAATTTTTCGGGCTTTTCAGCTGTAGGAACATGGACAGCAGGTACATGATTGATCATATGCTGAGAGCTGGAACCTGCTCCGGTGGATGCCATCAGTTCAGTAGGTTGATTATATTCTTCTTGCGACTGTTGGATATTTGGTGTCAAAATTACACGGGAATCCTACGAACTGATATGTTTTTCAGTTCTTACAAATAATCTAAAAATAGAAAATTACAATTGAACTGAAAAATAAATTACAATTGGAAAATAAAAAAAATATAACGGAAAGATTTTAGCCGAGGCGAGTAAAACTCTTTCCGCAAGAAGAATACGCCCCGTGTGGCAGCTAACGGTTCAGGCGTAACTTCCCCAAAGATACAACGACATACGTCTCTAAATCTATAGCACACCAGATTTACGAGCTCCAGCGAACGGGAACAGAATCAAGAATTGAGTACTATCTTCTTTTTTTTTCTCTCCCTTTTTTCTCTCCTTTTCACTTCTTTTTCCAGCCAACTTTTCTCTTTCACTTCCTTTCTTTTTTCTTCTTCTCAGCCGTGTCTATCTCCTCTTCCCACATATATATATATGTATGATAAAGGAACAATCAATTGAAGAGAATATGAATCAAGTGGTTGAGAGTGGTTGGAATATAGGTTGAGAGTGGTTGGAATATTTGTTGCAAAAGATGCTTGGAATGTGTTGGAAAATGATTGATGGAAGATTAATTAAATATATTAATTTAACACTCAATCAGAACAGTTAGTGATAGTCAGTAAAAGAGTTAAGTGAAGTAACGCTCATTTTCAAACAAGTTTTAATTTAGATTTGTTATTTAACTTTGTTAAATATACAATAAAAACTAATAGTTTCCAATAAAAAATTTACAAAATTATAAATGAGTTTTATGTAATCCACTAAACGTAACTTATATATTTAAGTAAATGAAAGTTTGGATTTTTGACTAGTTATTTGTTATTCTGTGAATGAAAAGAATTTTCTCCTTAATTTTTTTTATTTTTATTTGTGATTCTTAAGAAATTTCTTAAATTTTATTTATAAAATTTAACTATATTTTTATTTTAAATCTCACTGCTTTTATTATGGCGAGTTACATTTTTTTTATTAATTCAAAAAATGAAAATAACTAAAAGAAACATTTAGCGCATTTCGCTCTGGGCCTCATAAAGCCCAGACCGGCTATGTGGTTGATCAATGACAACACATCGATGATCGATCCATCCTACATCCTAAGTAACCTTGTATTACTGCACGTGTTCGGCTGTGCATTGAGCTGCAGGGACCACTGACCGCTTCTCCCGCTATGCGTGGTGCCGCAATGTGTAAGTTTAACAAAATTCAACCGATCGGATCAACTGGTCCGTTGATTTACAAAATTACGGTTGAAACACAGTACTAAACAAGCACGATCACGTATAAGCAAATTTAGAATTGGGACAAACAGGAGTTGGCTCAAGTGGTAAGCAGCTTGATGTCGCTTAAGCAAGGTCTCGGGTTTGAGTCCTTGTTGATGCAGAAAACCTTTGTTGGGAGACTCACCCACCACTGCCAGGTGTGCGACCCGGGTCGACCAATAGATTAGTCGGGGCATAACTCTGGATACCGTGGTTGGCTATCAAAAAAAAAAAAATGAAAATTAAGAATTGGTCAATTGATTTGATTAATTGAATTCAAACTTTAGAATTAGATACAACCCAAATAACATGACAACTTATATCACCTAAGAAATCTTTACTTATCCTAGCACGCTAATCACATGTTGGCTTAGAAAAGAAACATAGATTATGTTTGATATAACTAACTGATAAGTTAGCTGATAGCTGATAACTAGCTTGTAGCTTATCAATTATTTTTTAGCTTATAGTTTATAGCTTATGACTTATAGCTGAAAAACTAACTTATGTGTTTAATAAAATTAGCTGATAAGCTAGCTGAAATAAAAAAGTCTAACTATCTTATTTGAAAAGCTACCTAAAGAAGTTTATCAAATAAGCTCGAGCTTTTTAAAAAACTCGTCCTATCAAATGAGACTTATTTGAATACCGGAGCTTATAAGTTAACCAAATAAGCCATAAACTAACTTATTTTTCTACCAAACATAGTCATAGACTGGTTCAGAATTTAGCCATTATTTCATGCCAGCCTCAAAGTCCATCGTGACAAATATAATTAATACATGTAATCTAACCTAAAACAATCACAATGTAAGGGAAAAAAAAAAAAAAAAAACATTCATAAGCATCCTAATTTAGTAATTTATGAACTACCCTCCATCCACTACCACGTTCAAAAAGTCCACTCTACACAATTTGACAACTTGTGACAGTTTCTCCACACACACACATGGGCTCATTCTACGCAATCTTTTGGCCCACGTCGCCAAGAATTGGCCCAATCTCCCCCATACCCATCACTTTCAGATTATTTTTCTGATGAAATCACATCACTATCAAAAATTATTATATCATACCAAATTTAACATCCACTAATACAATAATCAAGTCTTTCAACATATTGCAATATCACAATACCAACTTAATACAAACTATTACAATTATAAAATCAATGCTGACACTGTATAAATACAACTCCAATCATTCATTTTAAACAAGAATTAGTGCTTCCCTCTCCTCTTCAAACAAAAGTCCTGATAGATAAGAAACAAAAAATGAGCTATGAAAAGGTCCGAAAGCAGAACAAATTCATCCGTATCATCATTGTCCCCATTCGGGTCCTTGCCCGGGCTCGGGACTTTTACATGACGAGCCTCGCGGGCTTGGGCGGGGCTGCCACGTACGGCAATGTCATGGGCTGCCCGACCCCGACCATCCCAAGAAGCTCGAGCGTTAATTCGAATTCAAGAACCGCCGAGGAGCAGCTGAGGGACCTCGCAAGGCTCCGATCAGTGACTGGGAAGGCCGATGAGGTGAAGCTCCGTCGCTCGAAAAGCGCGCGGCCTCTCGGCAGCGGGGTGCCGGCAGCTGCTGTGGCGCGCAGTAGAACGGTCGCGTTTGGGAGGATCGATGAAGATAAGGTTTTCGAGTACGAGGAGGAGGACGAGGTCAGGCTGCTGGGCCGGGCTGTTGACTTTTCAAGGGCCAGAAGCTACGGTGGCAGGTGAAAGAGGAGTTGATCGACTGGTGTGAGGTATCACGATGTGAAAGTCAACCAGTGACGAATTGGAATCCATCTCGTTTTTTTTTTTTT